ATTAATTGGGAAATAATAGAATTTTATTCACTTTATTCTATTTATCACAATTATCATTTAAATATTGTGTTATTACAAAATATTTATAATGGCAATTACATAAATGCTTAAAGTAAAATAAAAAAAAACTATTTTCCTAAATTCTAAATCTTCATCTTCTATCCAATGCCTTTTTGTCTGCTCATTTAATTTTACCTGCAAAAACAATTAAAAGAAAAGTCAGATTTGAATAAATAATTAAAAGCAGAAAATAAATTTAATGTTCATCATTAAAAGCAAACGGCTGGAATCAGTTTACCCTTTTTTGCAAATCACGGGATTTCTCCCGGTTCACAAAAAAGGGAGGAATTTTATTTCATAAATGAATGCACAATTTTGAAATATGCACAAATTCATTTTTATTTTTCAAAACTAAATATGCATAATTTCTTTGTCACAATGTATATTTCAAATTATACACAGCATACAAATACAGCATATGCCATTTCCCACAAGCAATGCAACGTAAACCTATGCAACTTAAGAAGAAGCCAAATAACATAGGCTCCCATGCAAGACAAAAAGAATTATGCAGTTTCAAAACAATGTGCAAGCAACATATATTTCCTTTTTCATCATGTTCCAGCCTATGCCTTTTCAGAACAGCAGTACAATACATCATTTCTATGTATCAAGTGTACCCATGAGAGAGAAGAGAGAAAGAAATATGGTTTTGCAGGTTTTGATTAGGCAGAAATGGATACAAAAACAAAATGCAGCAGTAACACAGTAAGAGGAAAGAAGCACAAAAGGGAATACAACAAACTGTATGAAGCAACATTGTGCAGAAGACCTCTAGCTGTAACGAAAACCTGAGCCATCAAACACAAAAAATGCCAAGCAATTGATATAAGAAAACCAAAACCCCTTCAAGAAGCAGAGTTTTTAACATATACCAAAAACTACCAAAGCAAAAGCGATTGTTCAAAACAAACTGCATAAACCACAAACTGCATAAACCATTTCAAAGCCTCAAGCTTTAAAACCTCAATCACCCAAACCTGCTACCAAAAAAAAGACATAACCATATCAAACCTTATGGCCAAACACATAAAACCAGTAGAATCAAATCAAAATCGTTCCTACTGTAAAACCATATATCAAGACCTGTCATAAACCATATAGACTACTGCATATAAAACCAGAACCTGCCACTGTGTTACGAAACCAACATAGGACTTGTAGAATGCCTCAAAACCAAAACTGATTTCCTAACATCAGACCTATCAAACCATTGTCCATCAACAAAAAACCATTCAAGACCATCAACCATAACCACATAGCGTATAACCGAAACCCACATGGCCTAAACTAATTTCCAAACCCAAGCATACGAAGGCCTCAGAGTTCATCATAGGCAAATTCCACGAAGCATACAGAGATCAGAAGAGAAGAAGAAAAAAAGCGTCAACAGCATCAAGCTAGTCAAAATGGTTATTTCAACATAGCTTTTAAAATATTCAAGGCAACGCAAAGGGTACAGTGAAAGAGAAGAAAGAAAATCAAGGTATTCAGAAGCTAGGTTTTTCACCCTCATCAAAGCCAAAAGTAAAGAATCAAGAACGAATACCAGGGTACCAAGCTGAAGCAAGCATCACGTGTTTCCCTCGCTGCCCTTGACCTCCTACGCACACTCAAACTCCCTCCTCCAGCTCCAAAGGTACCCTTTCATCCTTCTTTTTTTCAGAACCTCAAATCACCATTAACAAACAAGAAGTCAGGATTAAAAAATGAACAAAATCAACGCATGCATTAATGAACCTTAACGAATAAAAGATGAAATCGTACCGTGAATCTGTTGCCCAAGCGTCTTATTGGAGGGAAGAGGGAGATCAAGGTGTCGGTGGCCATGGACGGAGGCAAGTCAGAAGCGAGCAACGCGAAGAAGATGAAGACGAAAGCATGAAGAAGAAGAACAGCGCCGTAACCAAACCCTAAGCTAATGTCCCAAAATTAAACGTGTTTAACCCCTAAGAACAAGATTGTGAACAAATGGGCCTTGTCCTGCTTTAAGCCCAGCGTGCTGCTTGTGCACCCCCCGTTCTATCAATTTCTTTCTTTCCTTTTAGGATTTTAGTATTTTAATAATTAGTAATTCAATCAAATAGGCATAGTTTAATTAAGCATTTTAATAATTAATTTTATTAGTTCAACTTTTAGGAGTTAATTTGATAATTTTAAATATTCCCTTTTAGTTAGAATTAGGTTAATAACCTTTTTAAGTTTTAATTAATTTAGTTATTTAATAATTCTAAAAATAATAACCTTTTATATTAATATCAAAAACATAAAAATAGAAACATAAAAACTTAAAAAACATTTTATTCCCCTTAATTAATTCTCTTTGCATTCATCCATATAAAAAATACGTAAAATGGAGAAACAATTAAAACACTTTCTTTTTACTAATATTAATCAAAAATCCAAAATGCATTATATCATTTAGTCTATCATTTAATTATTGTACTTAATCATGATCCGCATAATTTTTTCTGTTTATTTATTTCATATTTATTTGTTTATTCCGTTTACGTTTAAATCCAAAGGAAAAATGATAAATTTGTTGACTTCATGTCCTCAAATCTAATCGCGCGAATATTTGCATTTTTCATTAAAACTTAGGATAATTTGCCTTCAAGTATTCCATCTTTTCAAAATTTATGCCCCTTTAAACAAAAACTTCGACGTTAGGTCGTCGTATCTTCAAAAACCTATCTGTATCCCTTTTCGGCCAAAACGATTTATTTTTATCAAGCAATCAAATTTTAAATAAACAGATATTTCAAAAGGTTCCTATAGAGTACTGTAGATGCATTGGGTGCTAATACCTTCCCATTGTATAACCAACCCCCGAACCATAAGATCTCTTTTCAAAAAACGCTTTGTATTTTTATTATTATTTACATTGCATATTTAGGGTTTTATTTCGCTCTTTTCCCTTTTCCTTTGGAAACAATAAAGCGCGGTGGCGACTCTTGCTTTTGTGAGACGAATTAATCAATAATTCGATCTCCGATTTACCCCGCTACATTTTTTATCGCTACACTAAGGGGAGCGGATCACCCGAAGCAAACAAGTGGGAATAAGATGTAAAACAAAAAAAAAACACGATGTCTAAAGCGACTGAACACCTAACCAATATATAGAAGATCGAGGTAGGCGACAAAAGGCAATATGAACAATCACAGTGTCAGCATTGGCCAATACGAACTCCTGACAAAGTGTGAGAGTTTGATTGTGAAACCCTTTTCCACTTGACGACTCGATAACAAGAATATGCACAACTTCCAAAGCATCATGGTGCGTCACGAGCTAAGGATGACACAGATAAAATGCGGGGGTTGATTGCGAACCCTCTCCGCTCGCCTCCTTTTGAGGACTTCAATAAGGAATGGGGGAATAGATGCAAGCACAATCTTAAACACACGTGTGGAATACCTACTTCCAAGGTAGGATTTTAAACAAACACAGATAACATACAAAAAGCGGTGTCTGTTACAAGACTTTAAACAACGACTTCGAACACACACTCTTTATTTCCTACTTCCCATGATATCTAGAAAGCAGTAAAGTGCATAATAGATAAACCAGGATCAGAATGATACTAAACGGATAATATTTCGTAGCACAACAAGCAAAGCAGAGAAACCCGGAAAATTTCGTGCAAGCTTCACCAACCAAAAATAAGTGATCATAAAATCAGATGTAAAAGATAGCCATCGAAGCATCCATGTGAAAATAAATCAAATGCATCTGAATCATCATGTAATACACCTGCACAAGAATTCACAATCCAGACAAAAACACAAACAATGTATACTTCTCATGTAATGAGAATCAAGATAAATCGCGCCGAAAGCGAATCTCAAATCCACAAATAAAGTGGAATACAAATACTTTTCAATCAAAATAAACGATCTAAAGCTCTCTCGAAATACCTTGCGCAAGTCAACAAACACATTAGCAAATAACAAAAAAAAAATGCAAAGCTCACAACTCAAAATGATGTTATATCATAAAAAGAAAGCAACTCTCAAATAAGTATAGGAACCAAGTATTGAGCTACAAGCAAGCTCCCACGATTTGCATCCAAAATGACATGAAAATATTCACAAAAATAGTAGTGCAACAATATGAGCAAAAACTAACATAAAAACAAGTATTAAATTCTAACATAAAAATCTACCAAAAAAAACTAAAGAATTAAATTCTAACAAAAAATCAACTAAGAAAAAAAAATTAACAAGTTCTTATCGATTTTGTATTTTTACCCTACAAAAATATAGAAAAAATTAAGAGAAAAGAAATCCTAAATCTAATGAACAAAATAGGAATGACACGGGGGTGTATGCTGGGATCCAGGTGTGTCTACTAGTAAGGCGCTAGGGGTATAGGATAGCACAAGGGCGTAGGGCCCATCAGATTGGTCCACGGAAGCTATTTTTGTTCATGCTCAGAATCAGGCTCCCAAAAAGATGTGGCTGGGCTTATTGAAAGAGCCAATGGCGCAAAGGCCCACCGAAAACATCCATGGACATGTTTTTTATGTTAATCTCTTAGCATTAGATTCCAAAAAAAAATTGTGATGGACCTAGGGAGAGAGGATTTCGGTCCACATAATAAAAAAGAACAACCACTTTTTTGTTTTACCTATTTCAATAACAAAAAGAAGAAAAACAAACGCGAAGAAATTAAAAAGGGGAATACGTGGAATTTAGGGTTTTGTGTAATGACTCTTCAACTTTGCAGAGTACGGGTGTTTCTTCTCCTTCTCAATCCCTTCGCTGTTTCAACTCTCGATTCAATCTCGGATGAATTTTTCGCCGGACTCTAACTTCTCCGCTCGCGATTTTCTCTGTCTCGATTCTCCTCTCAACGGTCAGCCTTCGTCATGCTTTCATCGTCGAAGAAATATGGTGGTTCATCAATGCATCGAAACTCCAAGAAATCAAAAGGAATGCTCAAGTATGCGTATGGCTCCCGATTCGCATCTTGCTGCGATATGGAATTTCTTTCGACTCTTCTTCTGATCCCGCTTCTGTTCTTATGTTTCTAAGTGGATCCGTGTTTGTTGAATTTTTTGAGGCAATGGAGTTCGTTGTGGTAACGGTCACTACGGCTTGTTGCAGATTGAAGTTAATGATGATGATTGTTGAAGATTTGTGAAGACGATGGAGTGTGAGATGAAGCTGCAAGAAATGCGATGATGACGATGCGTGAAGGTGCAACGACATTTGATTCTATGATGAAGTTGTTACTGAATGAAGATAGCGATATAAGATTGAAGTATCAATGTTGAGAGTTGCCGCAAAGATGAAGCAGATGAAGATTGTGACGATAGAGATCACAATGAAGTTGTTGTTGTCTGATTTGCAGTTTTTTGAATTCAAGAAGATGATGCAGAGTGAAGGTATAGGTGCCGTTCTGACGAAGGTTGAAGGTGCAAGGGTGATGATGATAATGGTTCAAGTGTTGCAGTTCGGTTGCAGAGATGGAGATGAGAGGATTTTCTGTGGAGTTTTGGAAGATGAAGATGAAGATGAGAGAAGAAGAGAAAATTTCTGTAATTTTTTGGATGTGATTCTTCTGATTGTTGAGGAATGATTCAACTGTAAGGTGAATTTCTGTTATATTCTATAAGAAGCTTTGAAAGTTAGTTAGGATGAAACTGAATCTGAGCCTTGGATGAAGAAATTGGTTAGAGATTTGAGTGGCTAGGATTAAATTTCGAAATCTGTTATGTGTTAGTTTTTTATTATAAGTTGAACTGATTTTGTTGCTTCTGATGCCACTCCATTTTGAATGCCTCCTGATTTATTTTGATATAACTTTTCTAATAAAAACCCTTTTTCCAATTTCCTGCTATTTATTCTCTTTTCCTTGTTTCTGGATTTTCAGAGTTTATGATAGTTGGACTGTATACCGATGCGGTTTTTTTATATTTATATTTCTCTTTATATGATTTCATGGTTTACACCTTTTCTTTAACTGAAATTTCCTGATAACTTTCTTTAGTTTTTGTTATCTTAGACATATGTTGAGCCATTTATTTTCTTTCACGATGTTTTGGTGCAGGTTAGTACATGGTCATGGTAGAAATACATGGAGAAAGCACTTGAAAACTGAAAGTTAATGTGCAAATTGTTGGCAGTTACGCTGCATGTCTGTTATGATGAAATTTCGCAGCAAGGCTTTGTAGCAGGGATGCATAGCAAACTACTTGGTTCATTTTTGTGCATAAAATGCATCTGGTCTTACACAGGGCAACAAAGCTCTTCTTTGAGGCTTATCGCAATAGGGTTTCTTAGGACAATCTCTTCTGAAATTGCTTCAGTATTTTGCTGGTTTAATATGCATCAGATCTGACAAATTTGGGACCTTGGAATGTATAGATTTAATGCGTTGTCTTTATCTCCTTTGGACATATTTTGAATCCATATGAACTTTAAATGTAAACTAAGTTTGAATGGATATTTGGAATGACACTCTGAACGAAAGAATGTGTCGTGCAATTTGAATTGGAAATATACTTTATAAATCTTGTCATTTGTTTCCAATTAAATTAAACACAATAATTCTTCCAATCTCGTACGCATAAAAAAAAAAAACCTTAACCTCACTCAAGTCCATAAATCCAAATTAGATTGCAATTGAGCAACCAATTCCACTTTGACAAATGAATGACAAATGACCTCAGTCACATAGGAAGGATGCCTTGCATTCACAATTCATGCTTTGCGGTTAAATCTCCCAAGACATCTCAATTTGATAACCAATGATCTTGATAATCCTGAAAGAAATGAAAATCATGATTGATGAAAGAGCACCTTAAATAACCCTTTATTAAAAATGAGATCCTCAAAGCCATGGGAACCTTGGTTCCTCCATACTCAACCACAAAAGATTGAAACCTTGATCTTTAGAGAAATACAGAGAAATAAACTTTGTTTCAAGACCTTGGTGTCTTTTGGAGAAAAATAGCCTGGTAGCTTGATGTTCAGAAGAAGAGGAATAGCTTGATAACTTGAAGAGGAAGGAATCCACAACAACCATGGATCAAAACCCAAATTCCACATTTCGCTGCTTGCAGAAGAATAACCAGGAGAATCAAGAGAAAGCAAACTTTATTTGATATACACGATTAATTACTATAAAACCTTGATATTGCTACTTCATTGATCCTTTGAACCCATGGTACTTTATTGAATGAAATGTATGCCATGTCAGTGACCTAATGGAATATATACAGACGAATGCAAAAGCCTAAGCCGAAATAAAATAGATTAGAAGGGCAAATTTTGGAGTGCAACAATTATCTATTGGTGTCTCTTCAACAACACCCGATCTCCAACGGCGTGTCATCTAAGAAATTCCAGTTTTGGCTTAATCTTCTCCAGTAGAGCTTGCAATTTATTTTTGCAACTCCATTCAGAACTTGTAGCCCGTGTTCATCGGTTACTCAGTTTGTTACTCCCTGCAGATTTTCAACTTCTCAAGGGTTTCCTTCCATCAATCCCTTGTATCTTCTTCAACAAAATCATGCATCATCGCATTAAATCCTCAAAGCGTATTGTTTCCATTCGCTTTGGAACAATAATCTATAGAAAAACAACTCAAACATGCATTGAAATATAATCCATGGTTGTTTTCCGTGTCCCCAACAAAATTACTAAAAACTTTGAGTTATTTCCCAACGAGGTTGCTATGTTCTCAGTATCCCAAATTTTCATTCCTACAAGTATCCCTTCGATGTTACTATCCGATTGACAAATGTCTGCTCGTCATTTTCAACAAAGGCCCAGTTCTTTCCTGGCACCCTTCAAAGGCCCAGTTCCTCCCTGACACAATACTTTCAGGCTTCTACCACTCGTTCTTAGGTCATCACCAATGTGATTGGTATACCTTTTGAATCAAGTTTCACCCTAGTATTTTTTTGGATCTTTATCAACTCCTTTAGGTCGGGGTCGCCACTTGTTACCTTGTTTCGATCATCACCAGCGTTCCTATAGTGTGCCAATAGGCTATGGTGATCGAACCCAGTGCGTGAAATCCAGTTTTGTCCTGACACTCATCCTAGTTTCTACCGCTAGTCGTCTTGAGTCGAGTTCGCCACTCATTTTAAAAGTATCAACATTGGGTTAGTTTCTACTCCTAACCTTCATGAGTCGAGTCTGTCACTCATTATAAGTCTCTTTTTACACCTTGATAACCTCAGTTCCGTCTGTAAATCCTTGCTTGAGACCAGCAGGTGTCTTTTGAAAATACAAACTTTCTAGCACCTTGATATATGACCCAATTCAGCTTATTGTCCTATCGAGTTCCCTTGGGGCAAGTCAGCTACTTGTTTCCTTGTTTATGTTCCAGTTTCTTCCTAGCGCATTCCTTATACTACTCCCCTTTGGGTCGAGGTCGTAACTTGTTACCTTCCTTCGATCCCGCCAGCGCTCCTATAGTGTACCGATGGTCTATGGTGATCGAGGCCATTTTATCTTGGTATTACCCATCAGATACAAATATCGTTGTTATCCTTAGCTTCTAGTATCTACTGCTAGTCCTATCTCGGATTAAGTCTTCATTCTTTTTGGTTGTTGGCAAACTGGTTCTTCCCCGATACAACCTGCATAGTATTCTCAAGACCGAGTCATCTACTTGTTCCCTTTCCTCGATACATAGAGTTTTGTTAGCATTCTATGGGCCATATTCAATTTCTAATGGCACTCGTTGGAAAATCTAGTTCATTTCTAGGTTTCTCCACTTTTTCTTCTATACAAAAAAAAATCATATCCAGATTGTTGTTACTTTTACTAGAATCCAATTAATGGGGTGTTGCACCTCTATTCTACCCAGAATGCAAATTTTCGGATTCTTTTAATACTCAATCCTCTTCCATCTTGGATGTTTGAAAGTTGTCGTTTTTTCTCACTTATCAGGTTTAAGATGATTGAATAGGGACAACAGTTGCACCACAAAATTTCCCCTCTTCATTTTAATCATAATTGGCTTATTTTTCATCATCATATGCATACATACATGTCATTGCTACTGTGGCCACGAGATCCAAGTGTTTATCTCTCAAGAGTTACACCAGAGGCATGTTCCATCAGTTGATAAAGTAAAGTATAACTCAGGGTTTTCTTCATTTTATGCACTCCACATGGTTTCCAAGCTATTCAATAAGAAATTAGTCAAATAATCATCATATCAAGATCTCGTGTGTTTTGGCACACTGTGAATTGCACAAGAAGTCAAGTGTTTTAATCGATTTGAGACAGTGTAGACAGAAATTCAGTATCTTGCGTTTCTAGGTCAAAATTTTGTAACTTGAGACCAGAAAATGATTTGAGAATGGTTCTTCAATCGTTATAACCGTATTAAGATCGTATCCATTCATTTGTTCAGGTCGAGGGTTAATTTTATTAGGAAGGTCTTCAAAAGCGCGAAATACCATAAATCACGTTATACAATGGATTTGTTGGTTCGCTGGTTTTCATATGCTTTAAAATTCATAACTTCTGATCAGAGAACCATCTTTGAGTTCTCTTGGAGCATTTGATACGTCTTGTTATTTTCTTCAATTTTCGTGTTCGGCTTGGAAGCTGATTCAGTGAGGAAGATCCTCAAATTTGCAAATACTTTGAGATTGGTACCTTGAAATAATGTGTTGATCCACTGTTTATCGGATGTTCAAAATTCATAACTTTCTCCCGGTTCAACGTTTTTGTTTGGTTCTTTGGGCGTAAAATCTGTCTTGATATTGTCCTCAATTTGTATGTTCGGGTCAAAAGTTAATTCTTTGAAGAAGATCTCTGAAAATGAGAATTACCTGAGAAAATTGCACCCCGAAATGGTTTTCTACAGGACTATTTCTTGATATTGCAAAATTCATAACTTTTTTAATTTTTATTGGTTCATGACGATTCTCGAAGAGTGAGATCACAAATTTTGTTAGCTACAACTTTTCTTCAGGTCTCGAGTTCGGATGGTGCTTCAAAGGCTTCGGTTTATGGCTCGCTTCCTAAAGTGCTCATGAAAATAAGCTGAAATTTCAACGCAGCCAAAAAAAGTTCATTGTTTCTAGCTATTCGAAAAATACCAACTCTCTCAATTTTTATCGTATCGGAGCAATTCTTTCAGCATGACATCATAAATTTTATCGTCGACGATTTTAGGCATCATATTTATTGTGTTATTTATATATGACATGATAAAATCCTTAGAATAATTAGTCTATTAATGACCTATTAAGTGTGGGTTAATCGTGAGAACTCATTAAACATATGGACGTTATTATTAAAGTATCCGTAGTCAAGTTTTACTGTCAAATAGGACAACAATAATGCATGGAGACTATTATGTGAGTAGACTGATGATTGTGTCTCACAAGTCATGGATATGAGATATCAAGTCTTCACATATGTATAAATATTAGACGTAATATTTATACTGGATTGACCCACCATGAGAGTACTATATAGTTTGTTATGTAAGTTTCATAAGATAGTCTCATAGTGATAGTGGTGTATACCACCCTTCGACCTGGAACTATTATAGACCTTAGATGTGCAGTCGAGTACTTTATTACCAATCAAACATTATCCGTAACA